CCATTATTTCAGATAACCAAAAAACACAGGTCACTTAAGGTGGGAGAATACAGTTATGCCTTTGCTCTTTGCTCTGTTTGAGCTTAATGCTCTACTTATGACTAATTGTTTGTAGCTGTTTTAATTTCGGTATCAGAAATGTTTTAGTATTAGTAGGCAAATGTACCGTATGTTCAAAATTTAAAGGATTATTTTTAAAAAGCAGACCATGCCAATTTTTGTGATTCATTAGGAAGCTTAACCAGTGTCACTTTTTCGTATAAGCCCATCATAATTATAAGATCATCAAGATACTCATTTGGAAGCTGTTGTCTGTATTTTCTGAATTCAAAGCTCTTAGAAGATTGAAGGCTAATGATTTTCAGTTCAGTGACAGAGACTTGTATTTTTATATATTTTTTTCACTGAGGGAATTTTTTTTCTCTATAGCTAAAACTGCTCATGCATCTTTATATATGGATGCATTTTACTCAGATTCTATTTTTATACACCATAAAGCGAATGGAAACTGGGATGCACAGTGTTATTCCTATCTGATCTGTGAGTGTTTCATGGGAAAACATTAGGAAACAAACAGAGGTGATAAGGTTGCATGTAAGGATTTTTCACAAATTGATTTAATACCACCCACAGAGTTTTGGCTATTTTGCTTGACAGAAAACAAAGAGTGAGCAATTATGGTTTACTGTTTGTGACATCATTTATAAGCTAAATTTAATTTTCTACTGAACATCCACTTGGTAATGTCATAGTAATAACTTCCTATTGATTAATTAAATCTGTTCCTTCTCCTCCTTATTTGTAACTTGCATGAAGTTGCCAAAATGTGAGTCCATTTTCTTACTAACAAGCTGTGAATGGGGATGCTGTAGACATTTTAATTTTCTTTTTAGTTTTGCTGAGAAGTAACAATTTAAAATGGATTGACTTCTTCAACTTGATTCTCTCAAAATAAGCTGAAGTTCTGAAGTATCGCAGAATAGTTTGGGTTTTTTTGAATTATGAGGCATTTTCACTACATCGGCAACATACAGAATTGTTGTCTATGAATTGGTAGTATTTAAAGTACTTTAGAAAGGGACTAATTTGAAGGAAAGGGAGCATCTAGTTCTTGAAACACTATGTGAAATAGGCTGTTGGGTAGGAAGAGTTTCTTCAAAAAGGTCTTTTTTGTAAAAGGTTACACTGAATGAAAGTGAACACAAACTGATCAGTCTCCAAAACTAAAGGAAATCTGCTGATACTTGTGTCGCTCCTTTATAACAAGGTTTTAGCATTTGAATGTTGTACTAGATTTCAGCAGTTTTGAACCCTTCAGTGAGCTGAAGAAAACAGTAAATTTAGATCCTAGGAAAGGTTAAATTAGAAGGCAAGCACCTGAAGAATATTTGAGCATACTTGATGTCTGACAACATTAAAACAATCTCTACAAATTTTCAGAATATGATAAAAATAGCAACCTTTTCAGTAGAACATAGATGAGTTGACAACTTGAAACTGTCTCATTTCATTTGTCTTTTACTGATTTTGAAAGTTCAATTATTTGATCCTTTCAGATTTGACAATCATTGAGGCCTTTACCTTATTTAGATAAGCACTTTTGTGTCACATTGTTGTTATATGTTTTTGAATATAGAACAGAAGAATCTCAATTGCCTGCTTAACACACTACATTACAAGACAACTTTTCCAGTACTCTGACTTGGCAATGTTGGTGGCAATTTACTGGGTTACAAAACGTTTTTCACAGCCTATTTGTCTGATACGTTGAATTTTGAATCAATTTTACTGCAAGAATAAATATTTGGTGAGATTTTTAGTAGCTTAGCATTTGCTCTGTTTGCCTGAATTGACAACTTTCCTCCTTGGATTGGAAGAAACTATTGAGGTTGTCTTTAATAAGAGAATTTGAGATCACTTTGTGGGAGCTTAAACTGAAATCTCTTCTTTATTTTCAGTCTGAAATACAGCAGGCCTGTCTGAAAAGAAACAGAGAAACTCCAGTCTCAGAGAACTGTTTTTAGAAGAACTTGTCAATGTCTAATAACCTCAGATTGTTTTCCTCTCCTGCTCCATTGACTTAAATTTATTTTGAATCCTAATACTTCAAGTCACTGACAACATATTTTTTGAGTGCTACTGAATGCTAAATCTATTTTTTAATTCTGTTTAAGTACTTGAGAATTAATAGATTATCCATAGGACAGTGAACTTTCAAAACACTTTCTTTTGAGGACTTCTAGCACTTTAAGGTAAGGAGCTAAAGCAAAAAAAAAATTAAATGGGAAATTTGTTTTCTGCCTGCCTGACCAAAAATCAAACCATTTGTATTCTGTATCGTTTTGTGATAACAAGTGACTCCCTCACAATGTACAATTCTTTGCAAGAATTTGAGGTTGACCTTTCATTTTGAGAAGAAATTGAAACACATGGTACTGGAGAGGAAGATGTAATTAAACCATCTAGTTAGGAGTGAAGAAGTTCTGAGTTCAAATCTTTTCTCCTATGGAGTTTTTATTAATTTTATCCCATTATAGATAAAACATCAAGTGTCTCATGAGAACAGGTTTTACCTGTTCCTGACTGAACATCCTAACCACTGAACCAAAGCTGTTTGACCAGTGGTAAAATTTGAACAGCATGTCTGGAGAGAGTACCCTTTCTTCCACAGCTTCGTGCCCTTAAAAAGCAACAGCCTGGCTGACAAAGCATTGTGCAATGAGCCATCAGTTTAAATAGCCTTAGACTGAGAAGGCCAGTTCTGTGTAGTCCAATGCAAATATTGTAACCACCAGGGCATTCTGTAGAACAGCCTCGGACAATTAATGTTTGAAATCTGTAGTTTGATGTCTAGCATGCTTTTATTTTTTGACACAACCCAGTATCAATATGAATCACTGGATTTCAGTATTAGTTGCCTCAGACCTTTATTACTTGACATGCTTAGTTCATTTGTATGAATCAGTCACCAAGCACAGATAAGAGTGCTAAACAGGAAAGCGAGGTATCTTCTAGTCCATTCATCATAACAAAATCAATGAAAGTGACATATTACCAAATACCATGGTACTATCAAACTTTGAGAAGGGTTCCGTGTGGTTTCATAGCATTGTAAGTTTAGGTTTGAAATGTATGCATGGGTATCTCCTCCTGTCCCTATTAACCCCATACTCAGCACTTCGTGGATTCTTGCTTGGGGGTTGAGAGCTGTACTTGCAGAACTTGTCTGCACAAGGGAGCTTTTAACCCAGAAAGGGTAGTGAGACTTTCTTCTTTGCCCTGTGCCTCAGGTTCGAAACCCTCTTGCCCTGCCACAACTGCTGCTTTCAGCCATTCCCCTCCTTAGATCCATGACCATCTACTGACCCTATGTGTCTGGCATTTTTAGTTTGCTCTTGTACTTTGCTAGTAAAAAGGAAAACCCTTCCAGAGAGATGGTGAATGCAACCTCTCTCTAGCTTATTTCTCTCTCATTGATGTAGATAGCACAACTTCACCACTTAGGGAGGAAAAGATTTTGAATAATCAGCAACAGTAAGTTCAGAGAACAGAGCACGTCAGCTGGTCAGGGCTGTGCAGGATAGCACTGAAGACATGAGAACAGTATTGTGGATAATGCAGCAGTATAAATTCCAGATAAGATTGATATGATTTAGTAATACTTAAAACCATGACATTATTGTAGTAGTAGTATTTCATCTATCACCCTCTGATCCTACCTGATTCAAAGGCAGGGTCAACACATAAATCATTCTTGACAAAAACTCATCAACATGCCTAGGTAATCTTGTAAAGGTTTACCACTAATTCTGCCTAGCAACTCATTCTACAAGTTTATTTATAGACTTAGGAGAGTATTTGTTTTTCATGACTGACAAAGATTTTAAGGCTCTTTCTTTAGAAGAACTGGTCTGCTTTAGAACATAAATACATTTTGGGTGCATTGTAAGTATTGTGCATTTTAAATACATCAGGTAAGACCAACATTTACCCTTTGCATAGTTAATGGATATTTTCTTCAGCTATCAATACATTTCAAGGAAACTGTTAACTTGTAACCTTAAAGTTTTATTTTGTAAATGCTGTGGATATAGAAAATATAATTAGAGATAACAGAACTTGATAACCTCAGTTTATTTTAATGTAAAAATAAACTAATATTATCTAAAGGTATAAGACATTTTCAAAGAAATATCAAAAAATCATTAATCAATCAGGTAAAGTTGAAGGACCTTCTAGTGAATTAGTGATGATGTAACCTGTTATGACTCAAAAGTGCCATTAAGAATTTCAAAGCACAAACAAAATCAGAAGTAATTGGGAAGGTTGTGCTCTTTCACTTACCCTGGAGCAATGTTTATTCATCAAACTTCTTTCTCTCTTAACTTGTGTCTTTTGTGTTGTTTCCTCCCCCCATTTTCTGAAGGAATCAGTTTCTCAAAAAGTAATGCCACTGACTAAACAGCTGAAAACTACTTTTTTATTATTATTATTCTGAAAGAAGACGCTAATTCCTACTAAAGAAAAGTTTCATACTATGGAGCTGGAAGGAACCCTTTGTGATCACCTGGTCACACATGGATTTTTCATTCATATTACTGCTGTGAATTAATTTCTTTCTGAACTAGAATTATCTTTTTGAAAAAAAAACTCCAGACAGCAATAGTATTTACTTGAGCTTTAATTCAAGCTCTAGTAACACATCATGTATTTCCTCATTTTATATGTACCTGAAACATACACATAAAGACTGCTGAGATTTCTCTCATTGCCTCATCCATCACAGCTGAAATTCTCTTCAGTGAGAATGAATTGAAGTGTTGTGAGTTGGAGCTGGTACAAGAAGCAAATGTGAAGGCCCTTTGTGTGTGCATATATGTGTATACAGATTTTTTTTTAAAAAACCTAAAAGCCAGAATTTTCTGCCTATCTCTTTGTATGGTTCCAATTACATGAAGACAAAGACAACTGAATCTTCAAATGGTGTTTCTGTATTCAAGGATGGTGTCAGCAGTGAAGATCTGCGGGATCACCCTGCTTCATTCTTGACAACAACTTCAAAAAGGAAGTCAGAGAGTGAATCGATGGCGTATAACGTGGACAGGCAGATAGGCATCTCCCCCTCCATGGCTAATGCTTTGGAGCACATTGTGGAGCAACTGGACGTTTTAACTCTGGTGAGTATACAATAACACACTTGCAATGGAAAATGAAAATGCTGGCAATGGGCATATAAACCCAGGAACCATGTTCATTAATCAGAATATTAAAGTCTATCAGGTTATTTTGCATAGTTGTATAGTCAAGTGACTGTCTTGGATTTTTCCTTTCAGTAAACATCGATCATATGCATTGTGTTTGTTAAAGTAAAAGAGTCCTGCTAATTAATAATAAAAATTATTGTCATATTTCTGGCTCTAGAAGGAAAAGAGTCACTATTTTTCAGTAGTGAAATCTAGCGTAGATTTTCCCAGAAGCCAGTTGTTTAGCAGACACTGTCAGATTCCATCTTGAACAGTCACACAGGGGATGAAAAAAGTAAATTAAAAACCATTAAATCCCTGTTCAAACTTAGTGTTCAAGGTTTTGGTTTAGGTAGGAATCTAAGCAGTGGAATAATTCCTGGTGTCAGTAAAACTGCATGAGTAGTAGTCTCTGTCAGTGACTCTAAATCTTTTGTTTACAAATGCTCAATTCTTTTTAGTAACCAGAGTTAGCCAATATATGGCTAATACTCTGTAGTGTGTAATATAGTAACATTAAATGAAATTAAAAGGGAGTGGCTAAGGGTTTTTCCTTGCATTCTTTTATGATACATATGTTAAGAAAGTTTTGGGGATTATGGGGTCAAGTCATCAGTTGAAAATCGTTTGTGTTGTAAATTCGATTAAAAAGAAACTGCCAGTCTGTGTCCCGAAACCTGCCTTTTCTGTTGAAGCTAGTCTCTTGGAAAATGCCTTTTAATAGTATATTTCTTCTCACTTTCTTTTTTTTTGGGATGCCTTAAAAGTTTCTTTTAGGTTTTTGGAAGGCATCATTTGGGGTCACCAGTGATGACTGTTTTTCTGTTGAAATATGGATGCGACTTTTGCATTAGTATTTCAGAGTCATTTTATGTATGTGGGTCTATATATTTCTCTCTCTCAGAGAAATTATCTTGTGAAAGCAATTTAAAACCTTAAGACAATCTCTGTAGCCATTATTTTTAAATACAGTTGTAAACAGTGGAATAGCTAAGGAAAAGCCATCCTACAGTGTTTTTTCCTGTTGAGTTAAAATTATTTTTCTTATGTTACTATGTTACACTTTTTTTATAATACTGTATGAGTAATACAAAAAACAAATTACTGTCCTCTTCATGCAGACTATTTCAATCCTGGAACAACGTCTGACTTTGACTGAAGATAAACTGAAAGAATGCTTAGAAAATCAGCAAAAAATGTTACTTCAGGGAAGGCGGGAGGAATAAAAGATGAAAATGAACTGTGTTGATGAATATGTTTCATATATTCACAAGGAAATAATAAATGTTATTTCATCAGATTTTGCTATAAGCAAAAAAAAAAGTCCTCCTTTGCTTAACAAGTCAGTGTAATAAAAACTGAAGGAAAAAAGTATACAACACGTTTTAAACATTGGTAGCTAGCAAATATTCTGGTTATATATCTAATAAAGTGTGGCCCAGCCAAAACTAATATTTCTAAAAAATTCCCATTAAACATTACAGGACTCTTATTTGAACATAAGAAAGATCTTTGAATACAACTAAGCAACAAATTACACATTTTTAGAAGAAAGAAAATATGGAAGTGCACTATGCAAGTTTTTTAACTCAGGTAAAGATTGTAAAAATAGTGCTCTTTGTGCTAAGGCAACGTTACTCAAGGCCCTATATTAAATAAGACCTAATTAGCCCTAACCTCAAAAATGCTAGAGGTTGCCTTTGTCCCTTACATACTCTCAAATATTTTACCAAAAGGTAGCAAAAATTACTCTGTATCTTCTAAACATTTTAGTGATGATTGCAAGAATGTCTAGTGTAAAATCTTTCAGTTACAACTATGAACTTTTCGAACCAAGCACAGAATTATGCAAAATCTATACAATAAATGCAAAAGATTCTCATCCTTCAAGGACTTCTCCAGGTGCTCAAGCTTTGCATGCTATGAATGTCCCCCATCAGTTAATGCATTATGACTGAAGCCATAAATCAGGAAGGACTTTGCAATGTATGATTATTTTTATTTTATTTGTTAATAAAAATGCAAAAGGAAATTGTAAGTCTTGTTTTTTAATATAAAACATCTATGCTGCTTTATTTATCGCTTTTTTTTTTTTAATGGCAAAATTGCAAAATACCTGTTGTAAATCCACAATCAAAACTAGGTAGTCATCCATTTCAGCAACTGAAAGGAAAAAAAATAGGGCACTTGAAATGGAAGGGAGCACTTTAATGCACTTCTGTAACTGATTGTATATAGATAAAGCCCATTTCCCAGGCTGAACCTCATTAGCATGAATAGAGTTCAGTATAAGTACAGAAGCTCATGGTGTAAATACTGTTGTGGTTTGAGCCTAAGCCCTAAGCAGTCAATTTTTTTTTAACTCTTGTTTTTTTCTCCTAGTAATCTCTTTCAGGCAGCCAGACATCACCTCACTTGCTTGGTAAACTCTGAATTTTGCCAACGTGTATTACATATTTTCAGCTCAGTCTTTAGTAGTACTGCTCTAGCAGAGAAGCAGTCTCTTCTTACAAAAATGTGAGGTTCAGCTATTTCTGTGCTATGTCCTAGCTACAGAATTTTTTTGTGCAAGGATGGTCTTACATATTCCAATGTAAACAGCCTGACCTTTGATTATGCAATTGTTAATAATTCTATATAACACAGTTATGTAAATACTTGTAGGTCTTTTAGGTCAGATGCATTTTGCTTTATGCATTTGCATATACTCTTCTGGTCTTTGCCTTTCTTGGCTCCAGTAGAAGACACAAAACCATATAGCTATTAAAATCCTCTGCTTATTTCTTGTTTTCTCTGAGTGAACTATATATATATGTGTGTGTGAATAAAAGCTATAGATTTTTTTTTGTTGTTAAGCTTTCAGCATTATTTATCAACAAGATTTGGAAGTTTCTTTTACTTGTGTATTTTTTAATAACATCTCTCCCAAAATTTTATTTTCTGCCTTAGCTCCTATCACTAATCTTGCTTCCTTTTCAGTGCCTATCATCTGGAGCATTTCCTGCTTAATCCAGTTTATTCCTCTACTGTTTGTGACTCTGGTGACCTAACATAACATTCCGAAATTAAGACATGTCTTCATCAGTCTGTGAAGGGTGTCTGCTGATATTGAAACTCAACATGCATAACACCTGGGATGTCTGAATAACTAGAGATGGTTGGTTGATAACACAGTGGAGGTATTTTCCTAAGGCAGTAATGGCTGTCCTAAAACACAACCCCAACCAGCTAATATGGTGTTTCTTTTAAAGGAACATTGATGTAGGCTGATTCTCTTGATCCATGTAATTTCAAATAAAGCTATGAAATAGAAATCTTTATTTAAAAGCAGCTGAAGAGGCTGGTTAAACTCTCAGAAGCATATACTCCAGGGTTTGTGCTCTAGCAAATACCTGGTGACTTGACTAATTTGAATTATCTTATAAGAGCTAGAGGAAAATTACAGCTCTTTAGTCTTAGTTGTGCTTCTCCACCATATGAAAAAGTAATTGCAGAGGTCTTAAAATTATTAAGAAAAAACATCTGTACTGTAGACTCCAGTGGAGTTGTAGAAGTCCATACTTGTTCTGAACAAGCTGATCCACATCCCTGATGGAGTCTAGCTTTCCTCAAGATAAGCTGTCCCTTTGAAAGTAAATGTAAATAGGCCACCCTGCTGGAGAAAGACTGTTTCCAGCATTCAGGCCACCTACTGCAAAAATGCCTCTGTTACTTATGAAAAAAAATATCATCAATATTCGAATGACCTGCAGTAGATCCTTAAGAGTTGGTGAGGAGAGAGAGAAGGTGGCATTTAACCTCTCCTGCTGGCATCACTGGGAGGAACCCAACTTCAAATTCCTGAAGTGTGAAAGCATTATGCAGTGGCTCAGCAACTCATTGTATGGGCTTCTGCAGACATTTCAAAACAAAATTCTCATTCAAATGGAAAGAAATACCATGTCTTATTTTCTTTTGGAATTCCCATCAAAGCTTAGTGTCATTTAAATTGAATTTTTATCTTGTACATTGCATAAAGCATGATGTTGAGGCAGTACAGGTATTTTTTTCAGTATTTCATTTTGAATAGTAAAATGCACTTCCTTTGGGAGCATGTTCAGAGGTTCCTGGATATCACTGTGGGGGCCCACACCAAATGGCTAAATGTTGCAATGCTGAACCAGGAGGCACTTCACTTTCTATTTTGATCTGAACACAGGGGTTTTCAAATACCAGGGATAAATCAGACAGAGACATCAGTTCATGCCAATAATCCATTGTGCTTTATGGACCAACCTGACAACTCAAACTATATTATGGGTTTCATCTTATTTTTGAAGGCTGTTTAATTTTGTGTTGTTTTTCGTTGGTTGGTTGGCTTTGGGGTGCTTTTTTTTTTCAATCACACCACTACATTTTCCAAAACGTTTCAGTGTTTACTTTTTTCTACTGCTGGCACGTTTTTTTATAAACTTAGGATTTTGGAAAACATGTTCCTGCAGGCGAATGTATCTGAACAACTCCCTGATCTTTGGGGGATTGTTGTTTCTTGCTTTTACATAGATAAGCTAATAATTTGTTGTTTCATTATCTTTATGTTTGGAAGCTTAAGCTGTGGTTTTAAATTTTGATTAAACTAATCTACTGGCTGGAGAAATTATGGTAGAATAGGTTCTTCTCACCATTTTAGGATGGCTTGAACACATCCCTGCAGCATGAAGAGTTAGAGGCATGCAACATCCTGCTGTTACTTATTTATTTAAATAAATAAATGTGCTGTTCTATTTTTAGGGTAAACAGAGGGGGTTTTTTCTTCCTAAAAGTCTTATTACAGCATTGCTGGATTCTATTCATTGCCATATCACAGCACAAAACCACTCTTGAGTTTTCTACTGAGCAGCAGTAGCTGGGATGTGAATGTATTTCCAAGGACGTAGCTTTATGTAACCTGTTTACCTTGTAAGACTTGTAAAGATCAGAAATACTTTACTCTTGGCCCCAAACAAGTAATGAATATGTATGTTCGCATTGGGTCCAGGAACAGTATGTTTTTGTCAGAGTGCCCCCTCAGGGGCTTTTTTGCACGCTTCGGATGCATAATACAATTGAAGCTGTTTCTTTGTGAGAAAATAGGTTAATGACTTGCCAAAAGGCAGATGTTAATTGGGAAAAGTGCATGCAAGTCCTTTTCTTGACAATGTCTGTGGGTCACATTTGTTATGACTTGCATCCAAGAACAGGTGCAATTTCAATTGACTCAGCTAACAGGGTGTGCTTAGTGCGCTCCACCAATTTCACCAGACATTTTAAATCCAGCAAAAAAAAAAAATCAGTTTCTAAACCAGTCAGTGAGCAATAAACTGCATGTATTGCCTGTTCCAGAATGTATACATGACTTAGTATTGTGATTAAGTGTGCTAATAATACTTTTTAAAGGCCTTTGGCTATTCGTTGGTATTGAATATTTTTACTGGTGAGCTCTGAGGAATCCTATAAAAGACAAAATGAGTCAAACCTTTCAAAATTTTTCTCTCTTAGGAGCCAACAGTTATAGACAATGAGTACCATGAGTGCATTTGTAAATGCAACCTAAAGAAGAAAAAAAGGTTTATTTTCACTAACACGTTTCATGCCACTAAGCTATGCAATCAGATTAAGATCTTCACCTTGCTCTGCTTCATTTTCCCTGTCTTCAGCTGCAAAAATTAATAAAACAAATGGGAAAAAACCCACCTGGGTGTGTCAGGGTCAGAAGAGCTGCTGTTTGACAGTTTAATAGTTTGATTCCAAGGGTCTCTGGAAATTTCTAAGCTACTCATACAAGTTCACTGGATCAGGGACTTCAGTTTGTATCCATGTGCCTAACCTCACCTCATCCTTCAAAAGTTACTCTTGCCTGAGAATAGACGAATATAAAATTTGGCTGTCTGGGAAACTGTGATGGTCTAGGCCATTGCAGGAACATCTAGTTCAAGAATCCTAACCTACAGCAGGGACCTGGGCATCAGAGGGCTCGGTGCACTTGCAGAGGCAAGAGTGGGCAGAGAAGAAATGCTGAGGATCTCAATGCTATCTAAATAAAGGATTCTGCAGAGTGGAGTGATTGTTAGGTATGTAACTCCCTTTATGGCCTGTGCCCTTGCAGAAGAGGACAAAGCAGAGAGACCCAACTTCTCTTCAAGCTGCTAAAAGAGGAAGCAATTGCCAGAAGAGAAGAAGGAAAGGCAAATATTAGCTACCTTTTTCA